GAAACCCTAAGCAAAGAAATTAGGAGGAAAAAAAAAAAAAGGGATTGTTTTTCTGATTTCGAAGGCAAAGTGTAATATACTGTATATGCAAAAATTGGCATGACATCTTATCTTATGCTTACAACCAAGCTTGCCAGGTTATAGCTCAAGTTGTGAGACAGTGTACGCTTTTTTTGCAGGCTAGCTGGTTAGTGTGTTGGAAGTTTTTGTATTGTGTAAAGCCCTTCCATGCGCACCTTACTTTAGCTCGTTATAGACTGATGAGTGTGTTTGCCATTTGCTTCACTTGTTGTTTGGTGTGGGGACACACTGGGGGCATCAGCTGTCATACCCACATCGAGTGGGGGCAGAGCTGCTACTGGTAACAAAGCTGTTACAAAGTATACATCAGGTGAAAAGGGGCAAAAGTAAGCGCACATACGATCCCTAGCTTATATACTCGCCTCTAGTATAGTAGGCACTGAGTGTGGAAATAAACTACTTCCACAATAAACTGCAACCACCAAAGAGGACAAAGGATATAAACAAATAATTATCTCCATCCCTATCAAATACAGGGATCTAAATCACAATAATAGCTAAACACAAGCCTCTGAACTACAGCATGATCATTAGATCCCTATTCACCCAAACTCCTACAAGAGTCATAGGGCAGGAGCGGCACATTTTCCCCTGGAAATTCTACACCAGAAGTAGCATGAATTCCCGGTCACAACCTACAAACCCCAGTCATCCCCCTAAAATGACTGCTCTAATAAGTGGTAAGAAATCAGGGTAATGAAAGGGTGACAATATGACTTTCCATAACCATAAGGAGTAATATACACAAGTGGAAACCCCGAGGTCTACCCGGTTGGCAGTTGTAGAAGTTTCCCCCTTTTTCAATGTGTGTAACCCATGGTCACTGCATCGTAATGCTTATTACAGGTGAATATAGTGCCACTGAACATGGGCAAGCAGGTCATGATTAAATGGGGGACAATCAATAGATTGATCCTGTTCAGATGGGGCAAACACATACTGTATAATGAGCGCTGCCAACTGAGTTTGTATGGGAAGATATTTCCCTAGGCACAACTGAAAATGTATCCTCAGTCTATCTCTCTAAAACAATGGGTCTAATTCAGCAATATTACAACATTAATATGTAACAAAGTAAACAACGCACAATAAAAATATTATTTGGGCTCCAAGTATTTCTTTATACTATAAAAAGCCTGAACACACCTGCATATAAAGGGGCTGCCACCAAAGTTCATAACTCAACTTGTATACAGCAAAGAGGTGTGTGTGTGTGTGTGTGTGTGTGTGTGTGTGTGTGTGTGTGTGTGTGCGCTTTTTATTGGTATAGTCTTAAAAACAAACACAAATCTTGTTTTTTGTTAATCAGTATAGGCCAGAAATATTTTGACAAGCTTTTTTGCATCGCACTGTGGGAGGCGTGGCTACGGTGCCATTTACTTGAATAGCACCACCATGCCCCCTAAGGCCCAGAACGCAGAGAGGTTTAATTATGCAAGCCACTGCGTTACAGCTACTAACCAAGCTTGAACGCACTGCTTGTGAACAAGCCCTTACAAAGCTGTTGAAAATGTTTTTAACAAAGTCAAAACTTATGAATGTGTGTATACAAATGGAAGATGTTAAAAGACCTAGGTATGAGTGAGCAATTCAGCTTTTAGAGAGTTTGCAATCTGTAAGGTTGCTTTTTCATGCCATGGTGATCCCCGATCTTCATACCCCCCTTACCTGTGCTGACTGACAGCCATCAGCGATTGCAGTGGATCTCCATTCACCTCTGTAATGAATGGAGTTTACTGAAGGACACACTGCCTAGTTTGCACCTCTGCAAATCAGCAGAACAAAATTGTACAAAATTGCATTTCTGTTCCATCGAGTTTGGGACCTGTGCGAATATGTGGCGTGCTCTTCAAACAGTCAATGCAGAAGAGCAGGCATAAAGATTTATGATGGTAATACCCATGTAAGTTTGGCCATAAAGTAAAAGTGAGCAATACAGAAGATGAGTGCAATCATATGAAGTTCCTCCTAACGTGGTCTCCAGAACTAGCAAAAAAAAAAAAAATCTCAGGTTACTTTAGACCAGTTGTTCTCAACCTTACTAGGGCCGGGACCCCTTGGTAACATTTGCCAAGTTGTGGTGACCCATAAACAGAGCGCGCTGGACTCCAGAATTAGTAAGGCGCCGGACTTGGGACCAAAAATAGAAGCACACTCAAAAGAATACAAGCCCTCCCCAGCCCCTGCTACCTGCTCTGTCTCCATGCAGCCTTCTCAGCCCCAGCACTGCTTAGACGCCCGCCTCCTGCAGAGCTCACATTGTATGGGAGGCAGAAGAACAGCAGCGGCTGGGAATAGAAAAGCCCCGGCCACTAGATGTCGCTGCAGCGGCCAGGGAGTGTGTATAGCGGCACTTTTATATTCACAGCCTCTGCTGTCCTCCCGCTGACTGACACTGCTGCGCTAGGAGGCGGCTGAGGAGCCTCTCACCTGGCGCAGCAGAAGTGGATGCTGCGACCCCCTCAACAGTAAGTTGCGACCCACTTTTGGGTCGCGACCCACAGGTTGAGAACCGCTGCTTTAGACAGTGCTCGCCAGATAGTCATTTGAAAACAGTAACAATCGTTCTTGCTGAAAAGATTATTAATTTGCTAATTTATGCAATGGTGCCACATAGTATAAAAAATGCACAGGAAATGCACCTTGTACAATTACTCAATTTCCTAAAGCTGGAAAAAATAAAACATGCCAATAAATTCTATCAACCAATGAAAAAACAGGCAAAACATTCCAACTTTTCTAGATGTTTCCAGCAACCATCATCCCCGTGTCTTTACAATGTTAACCAATGTCTATGGGCAGCCTAAGCATCAATCTTGCACTCATTTAATAACAGAGGCTGCCACACCTTCCAACCTACAGCTACAGAACCACGCACTCCCAAAAACTCTACTACATATAAAAGTTTTACTTTAGGTTTTGAGCTGCGTGGCATCCAGGAAGGATCTTGACAATATTGTCGGGATCCACCCTGCTGCCTGATTGACAGCTGGCTCTGCCTCTCTAGAGCCAGCCCCTCTGCTGTCCATCCCTCTAGTAAGCTTTGAATGAATATAAAGGGATGGGGGAATCCCTGCGGGGGCAATGACTGACGGTCACCGATCTCTGCATGGAGAAGCCTGAGCTGAGCGATCAGCAGTTCGTAATTGACCAGCTTTCGATCTATAGAGCTGGCTTGTGACAGCTGCAGTGTTACACGATAGCTCCAAGTATTGGGAAAAGTACATTTTACTCTCCTAGTACCTCCCCTTTAGTGAACTAGTTGACTGCAACTGATGGAAAGCATAATACCAGGTGTGCAGCACTTAGGTGGTTAGGGGGAAACTAGGTAAAACAAACAAACACCCCAAAAAAAAACTAAAATGCACAGTGGAACCTCTGTGAAAATATAACTGCTGTCTTTGTTCCAAATGAGATTTATCCTCTTAATTCTAGATCTTCCTCACTCTATCCAAAACTGGAAAAACCATTTAAACTGAACTGGGCTTTAAACCAAACAAAGAAATGCAGGGGCATGCATACACAGACCTGCCTTAAAGTTGGTAGAAAAGGTTCCTGTTGAAGGTAAATCTAAATAAGGTTTGTACAAACAATGCCGAAAGAGGACCTACCTACACTATTGCTAAATTTACAAATGACACTACTGTGCTTGTCTGTTGATGTTCAAGCAGTAAAAAACAATGTAAAAAATCTAACCTGGGGATTAAAAGAGAACTATGAGGTGTGTGCTTTTCACTCACCTCATAGTTCTAGCCGACCTGTGACAATGAGACTGTCACAGGTCGGCTCAGTAGATCGGGAGGTGAGCGAACACATACCGGCGTTCGCTCACCTCTCTATCCTGTCACGGCTCTCTGCCGTGACATGGGAAGAGCTGGATTCCCCGCTCCGATCCGCCAGCGCTGACTGGCGGAACAGACGGGGGCAGGTACAGATGGCTCTGCCTCTAGATAGGCAGAACCAGCTTTCACTCACGCAGCTGGGCGGATCCCGGCACAATTGTCAGCTGCGGCGTCTCAGTATACCGCGAGCTACAGCTCGCGGTATACTGAGCTTAGGGTAAGGGGAGGACGCTAGTTTGTGTCCTCCAGTTACCCTAAGGAGAACTATGGGGAAAAGCCTTAACCCCATAGTTCTCCTTTAATAAGAGGTGAGATAGTCAAATGTTTTTAAAAATGGCCTGTTCAATCATTTATCATTTGTACTTGTTTTTTGTAAGGAGCTCTATAGTGTTTCATTGCAAGCTGTTAACAGCAAGACAGATAGCTACTTTAGTGATCTGCTGCTACAGACAGGACAAAACTAAACGAGCCCAATGTAAGGCTTCCAGATCGAGCTCACAGGTGACATCATAGCACTGAAATATCATGCTGCTCTTACTGAACACTCTGTAGGAACTCCAAGCCTTTGTGCTAGACCATGGCTGTCACTAATGCTGGCAGCCTTATTGCAGCCACTGAGGCTCAGTTTTAGAATTATTACCAGAGATGTAATGTGGTCTTACTCTTGGTCTTGTGGGTCACATTGGGGGCCTTTCTGCTCACCTGCTATCAGACGCACAGACCGCAATAAAAAAAAAAAATCGGGCAGGGGTTCCAACTTTTCCAATTTACCTTACTAACTATAAAAAGGAAAACACTTTGGCCAAAAGTTTCAATTCGAGTCCTGAAGGGAAGGGAATAAATAATTTATATTTTTTGGGGATTAAAATTCACATTTCAGGACCAACTCTGAAAAATCCTAAACAAACAAAAATGACCTTATCAAGGTAGCAATGGTTTCTGGTTTTTGTTGTTGGTTTGTGTGTATTTCTTGGTATTTACAGCCCACGTGAAACCTCTAGGTGGCACTCATATGAACCACATGAAAGGCAATAATCAAATCATTCAGAAATTAAAAACCCCAAAAACGTAAATTACCTCTTTGGTGACTGGATGCGCGACACAATCCTCCATGCTTGAGAGTCTGGACTAGTGCAGTATTCCCGCAAGTCTTCTAATGCTCTCCTCGTCTCCAGCTCTCCTTGTTTCCTGTACTCTTCCTCTGTCAGAAGGCGTGGTGGGCTGGGCTTCCCTCTGGATTGAAACACCTTTCTGGAATATAAAAAAAAAAAAAAAAATTGAACAATTTTACAAACCTAAAATCTATTTTACCTAAATTATACAGATCTCTGCTTGCATGCTGAGTTTGCACTACAGGGTCCATAGCTTCTGTAGGTACCTAGTATGCATCTTCCGTAGTCTATTTACCCGCCATTTGCCCAGCGCCCCTTTAATTGGCAGTGATTCCGAGCTGAAGCCTCTATATCAAACTGCAGCCTTCTGGAACACAGCATACACATACGGAGAGCCGCAGGAATACATGAATAGCTTCTGTGTGATCACATGACCGCTAAATAAAATATCATGAATAGGTAAATAACTTTTAAAAATATATACATATATTTACCACTGTGGTCACTATAGAATATAAACTTAATTAACACATCTCTATATACTTGTGCATTCACATATACTCAAAACTACATAAACATTGGAGTCATGCCTCCTTGTTCGTGCAGAAGAAAAATCAAAAAAAGGAAGGAGGGGTGTGTGGGTGGAAATTCATTCAAGAAAAATATATGTTACTGCAGATGCACTAAAAACATGCGCGCGAAAGTGCCACATGCAGGTTTTCATATTTGCCGAACAAAAAAAAAAAATAAAAAAAAAAAGCCAGGACCATAATAAATAAATTCCCTTTTTATTCCCTTCTGAGCGATTTGCAAATCGTGCGTTTGTCACGCGATATCACGCAAATGCTTGCATTGAGCAAGCTAGAATTGCGGCAAAATCTGCTCCAAAAAAGTGTCCTGCTGTAGCGACGCACCACCCGCGACCGCAACGGACAGAGCCCCATTGAGATGCTTTGGAGAGCGATATCGCGGGAATTACCGCCCGATAAATCGCTCAGTGTGAATGGGGCCTTAAAGTACAACTGAAGCCTGAACTTTTTTTTTCCTTTTTAGTCTGGATAGAGTAGAGAGGGATTAGAACACTTGCCAGGTTGTTATTGCTGTCTGTGTTCCAGTTACAGAGATTCACCCCCACCATATGTCGGATGACCGTTATCACTGAAAGTGAACACCAAATTATGAGTTTTCACAGGAATAGAAGAGAAAGGAATAGAAGAGAAATCTCCCAATGAGAAGTCATTTTGGTGACCCTCCACCAGGGATTTCCCTCACTTCCTGTTGTGCCTATTGGACAGAAATCATCCCAACAGGACATCGATGGCAAAAAATGTCCTTGGGTTATAATGCTGCCTTACTCCACCTAAAAAAAAAAAAAAGTTGCTTTCAGTTGTACTTTATGGCTGAACACCAAGCAATATAAAATACATAATGTCTGATCTTCCTGCATAGAATGTATAGCTGGCCAAGGGTTTTTTTTTTTTTTTACCCTCATTTGCACATGAAGCCCTAACAATCTTTGGTGCTTTGCTTGGTATGGGGAAGTATGCTGGGTAGTGCTCTGGGCAGACCCTTGGAAATCAGTTATGCAGGTTGAGAAAAGATAGGCTGTCTTTTGCTGCAGGTTTTGTCTATACAAAAATCACCAATGATGTATTGATGTCAATGCTTGCTGGAGAAAGTTGGGAAGTGGGGTGGGGAAAGACTGGCTATCCTTTGCTGCAGGTACTTTATTAGAGCTGCAACTAATGATTTGCATAATAGATTAGTTGGCCGAAACAAAAAAAAAAAATTGGATAAAAAACCCAACATCCTGAATTTAAAATAAAATACACAAATGCAGTGTTACAAAGTTTACTTCTGAATAAAACTGCATGCACAATTTTTTGCAATCGCACTGCACGGGAACGCAGGGCATTGTAAAAACATTTTTACTGTGCGTTCCAATGCGATCACACTGTGGCTGGGAGGCGCGTTTGCAGTGCCATTGAAATGAATGGCAATGCACCTCCCGCAGCTGAATTTGTCAGGCCAAAAACGGAAGATAAAATTTTTCCCCACCTTTTATAATTTTTTTTTTTTTATATAGTTTTATTGTAAGCAGAATAGCTTCAGCCAGGGAATGGCAGCTGCCAGTGGTAAGATTCTGCAGACAGTAGCTGAATTGTAAATACAGCAGGTAGTGTGTTGGTGCAATAGTCAGATTGCTATTGGCCATTTCAAATTGCAATAGCCAATTGCAGGCTGGCTGTTGCACCCACCTGCTTCTTGCTGTGCCCTTCTCCTAGCATGGAGGAGAGAGATAGGGGATCCAACCAACTAATCGATAATGAGAATAGTTGATAACTATTCTCATTATCGATTAGTTGGTTGCAGCCCTATACTCTATACACAGCAGCACTGAAGTATAGCTTGTCAGTGCTGACTGGAAAAAGTTGGGAACTGGGGCAGGTAGAAGACTGGTCACCTAACCATAAACAAGCTAGAGTTATGACTGGTCTCTATAACAGCAATATCTCAGGGAGAAGCTGGAGAATTCCAGGGGTGATAACCGTCTACTGTGCAAGGCCATACATACACTTTAAAGAGGATTTGCACCTTTAAATGTTTTTGGACAGTAATTTACTTAAACTTCCCCCTTCTTGGCCCAACACATGCTAGGCACATATAACTTGTTATAACTTTCACAGCTTCCATGGAGCCATCAGACAGTAGGAAGAAAAGCTGAGACGATTTTAACCAGGTAAACGAAAAAGGGCTCTAGGCAGCAACATAACTGAGAAGTAGAGACAGTTTAAAAGTACATTGGTGAAGGTAGAAATATGGGGACTGCCATTGTTTTGAAGGTTCAGACTTTAGGGAAGCCATCTGACCTTGGCTTCTAGATATCCTTTAAACTATTCAACTAGGCTTGTCCCACTGATTAATAGCACTGGTCTAGAAATTTTGGGAAATGATCGACCTCGAGATAAAATATGTGTTAATTCTTACATAGTTTGATTAGATGAATTAGAAAAAACAGGTGATAAAAAAAAGGTGCTGGTTGGTTGGCTAAAGTTTTCCAAGGTATTTCACAATAAAGATTTATACTCAGGTGAGTATATTTGCCTACAAAGGGAGGGAGGTGTCTGATGATCATGATGCCTCGTACCGTCGACAAAATAGGTAGACATTGAAACAATGAAAATGGTACCACGTGGAAGTGTATACATTTATCTTCACTTTGATTAATACCCAACTGTAATTTATTGTTCTTTTATTGTGTGTAGCTGGGTGTGCAGCGCTCGGGGTCAAAGTTAAATCGGAGTTAAATCAGTGTTGGCAAAACTATAAACATAAAAAAACTTGTGAACATAGATCTCAACTAGTGCCAATGTGCATAAAATTAAAATAATCAATTAAATTGCTGAACCAAAACAGTAGTGCATCAGATATATGAGAAAACATATAAAAAAACCTCATGTAAAAAACTCATATAAAACAATCTCAAATATATCAAAGTGATATATAACAAAGTGAGTCCAAAGGTGGTTCAAAGTGAGTTCAAAAATCCATGATTAAAGGTGAATCCAAAAAACAACGTGAACCCCCAAAAAAAAGCTAATTTGTGGGTCAAAAATGATTGAGAATTTCCAGTGTATATCCCAAATCCCACACCGAAGTGTCCACGTCAAAGTCCCCTCTGGGATGCGCACTTACCAGACCAAGATGTTTATATGCAGAAAGAGATGACAGTTGGTAATCCTACAGCCGTCCCGTTCTCATCGCATGGATCAGTATTTCAGCACGAAAATATAAAAAGGGACAAGAACTCCTCATAGTGTAGTTAAATAAACGTTATATTAAACTACATTAAATAAACGTATAAAACGTTTATTTAACTACACTATGAGTTCTTGTCCCTTTTATATTTTCGTGCTGAAATACTGATCCATGCGATGAGAACGGGACGGCTGTAGGATTACCAACTGTCATCTCTTTCTGCATATAAACATCTTGGTCTGGTGAGTGCGCATCCCAGAGGGGACTTTGACGTGGACACTTCGGTGTGGGATTTGGGATATACACTGGAAATTCTCAATCATTTTTGACCCACAAATTAGCTTTTTTTGGGGGATTCACGTTTTTTGGATTCACGTTTAATCATGGATTTTTGAACTCACTTTGAACCACCTTTGGACTCACTTTGTTATATATCACTTTGATTGATATATTTGAGATTGTTTTATAGGAGTTTTTTACATGAGGTTTTTTTATGTTTTTCATACAGTTACATCTGGTGACTTGTGAAAGTGTCATTGCCGAACATTTCCAAAGGAACAGTTGTGTTATATTTTCACTCAGAAGCAAAGATGCCTCAAAACGGTGTAAACAACGCAGATAACTTCTGCTACATTTGTGGCAAGGTTACATTTGCATCTCAAAAGTGCAATGTTATGGCAGTGGTAAAAAAAAATGCATACCACCTATATTTTGATGCAAAATAGGGGATCAGGACAAGAGTTGGGCCCCTCATTATTGTTGCATTGCATGCGCAACTTATCTGCATCATTGGCTAAACAAGAAAAAGTCCATGCCTTTCGCAGTCCCAATGGTGTGGAGGGAATCGTAGTAGCGACTGCTATTTTTGCATGGTTCCCCCAATTGCAGAAAGGGATTTCAAGAAAGAATAAGTGGACTATCCAAATATTCCATCCGCACTCTGTCCTGTACCTCATGGTGAGGACCTGCCTTTTCCAGATCCACCAGAATCCTACTCGGATGATAAAACCGATGAGCAGGATGCAGCTGATCTGGTGCCGTCGATGTCAGCGGACCCAAACTTTAGCCCACCCAGTTATGTTATTGGTATCAATTAAAGGATACATTTATAATGATTGGTGTGGCACCATTCTCAATGCGACATCACATTTACCAGAAAAGTTATGGAGCATAATCGCACATCTCCCTCGTAATTTTGAATTATTTTGATGCCATTTTGACCTGAAGCAGTATTTGGAAATTGGAGCCAATTATTACTCAGGACTTTTATTTTGTTAATGACCCAATTCTGAAAAAAATGTAGCAACTTCTCATTTCCCGAGGCTTTCTCCTTGTAGACTAGTGTAGCCCATTTTACTTACAAGGGAATATTTAGAAACAAACCTGTAAAGAATGTGTGCCCAGTGCACGGGGTACTCGATCTGTTTCGTGCAGAAAGCAATCGCCATCATAGACAGTGCAACATGACGCACTTGGACACCAACATACATTAAGAGCAAACCAATCACTTGCAGCGTCCAATTCAGCAGATTAATACTGCGCTCGTTTTCAAGTGGGCCATATCTATAACAGACAGCAAAGCTGACAAAACCCACAATGCACAGGTAGCCTATTAAAAAAAAAAAGGGGAAATTATTACTGGCACAATCATATTAGAACACTACAAAAGCTTGAAAACAACCAGGCAGGGGCTTTAACCCTTTCCTGTGTGATGCAAAATTAAAACAAATGGCTATAGATATACTTCACATAAATGTATAGTAGCTTAACTTAATTTTTTTAATGATTTTCACTCTAGGGTTTAGTTTTACTTCAACTGCTGACCTCTCCAGTTGTGCTTTCTCCTGGTCCCTTCACTCTTGCGAAGGGAAATACCTGGAAACTTAAAGATATGGAGGGGTGGGGAGAAAGAGTATGTGGCATGTGTACTGACTGTGTAAGTTCCAAATTGGTACTAGTAGCTTGCACAAGGCTTCCACTTATTGTTCCTGGCTGGCAAAAACAGAGCGTCAGGGTAGCCGAGGTTATCCAAAGGATTAAAATGAAAAGCCAGAAGGAAGCATGTGACACCATTGTCAATGTAAAGATGGTTAAAAGTAGTATATACACAATCCTGGGGCTGACACACCAAGATTGTTTGCACAAGCAGTAGCTCCAGTGACTCAACCTGCCTAGAGCTACCAAAAAATATCAGCTTTTAAATGTGGGAAATATAATGTATACTCTTTGGCATGACCACGTGCATCACACGAAACGCTTACGTACCTAACATATACTGCCAATATTCTGTGCAGATTCCCTGGAAGTTTTTAACCACCAGCTGGATGATGTAAAGAGAAAATGACCAACCGCCAACCAGTAACATATAGAATGAACTTTTCTGAAATAGGAAACAATGAGAATAAATGTTTGCGTTTTCACCCCTTTAAACTTAAGAGGTACAGACAGCTGAAAAAACAAACCTACTGTATAATACCGTAACATATATATGTTTTTATTTGTTTTTGGAAGTCTGCAATGTCCTATTGATGTTCCAGAAACTTCCTACAGCTAGCTAACAAGTAATTCACAATGGTTCTGTAGACAGATTTCCAGTTCAATACTGAAGCTTAACCCCTATCTGCTGGTAACATATATTACTGCAACTGCAGAAACACTACGGATCATTTTAAGATGCACTATTCATTGTCAAATACCTTTGCAGATTTTTTTTTCTGTTGGTGGCCATAGACTTTCGCATACAAAAGATCTGCATAAGGCATGCACAACATACAGCATTCT